AAAAATATTTTTATTATTTGTGTTTTATTTTTGTACGTAATGTAATTTAATTTTAAGTACACATATTATTATATAAATAATAATACAATTTTTTATTGATTTAACCCACGGAAACATCGGCCATTGAGTGGAAATTATAAAAGTATATAAATATTTATAAGTTTAACAAAAGTAACACACTTAAATACTAGTTGAAAGTTACAAATTACAATGCGATAATGAAGTTAAATTTTGTTGAGGAGATTGGAGGTGAATAGGTGATGACCAATTTTATTGAGGCAGCAATTGAAAAAAAAAATGTTTTATGGAATCGACTAATTAATTAAATAAAAATGACCTACACGAATATGATCACATTAAGCGGAATTCATCGTAATATTATGTAATTACCGTCTAATAGAATGATAAGACTACATTACCTAAAATTTCTTTAAAACCGTACACAGGTAATCGATGTAAAGAAAATTTTAGAACGTTTCTATTAAATTAGAATGTCCACACAAAAATACATAATACATATCACTATCAAACCAACATATTCTTGCTTCTTAATTTAAAAATAACCTTTTAACATAAACAATAAATACTATTATGTATTTTAAATTGTCAATTATTTAAACCCCATATTAATTATATCCTATATAGTCGTACACCAAAGAAAATATCAAAAATTAATATAATTCAATTGAATAGRTAATAAATACTAATAATTATTCAATTAGAATACATATTAGATACATATAGTTTACTATTTTACTTATACATTTTAGTTTTTACTAATAAATAMTAATATATAAGTACAAATTACCTGTTGAAACAATTGTGTGTGACCGTCCACAAACTATATGCTTCACCTTATCTGGTTTTAAACCTACAACAATATCCATAATTAGGTACATTCATTTTCCTGACGAATGATCCAATCCATACTTTTAACACAATTAGGTTTGTAGACATTTTCTCTATGCCCTAGGCCAAGTTGTCCGAAACTATTTTTTCCAAAACAAAATACTCTTCCGTTTTCTAAAAAACAAGTTTTCAATTGCATATTATAATTTTACATCAAAATACTATAAGAATTTATTCTATCAATAATAATGTATATGCGTGTGTTCTTTTGCTTTGTTATATATTTTTTAAATAATTATTCTTAATTCATCACAATCACGCGATCATATTTATCTTGAAGAGTAAAAAAAGAGTAATCAAATTTATTGGTTAAAAATTTGAATTTTAAACGCGCTAAAGCTAACTAATAAAATACAATTTCATTTATTAAAAATTTAAAACCTTAAAGCTTATATGATTTAAGATTCTATATAAATATATAATAAATAATAACATNAACAATCAAGACCTATGAGGACTGCCGTGTGATACGATCCAGCGGATAGTTGAATGATATTTTTATCATTGAAACGGGTAACTTCGATGGGCACATCGCTGTATGTTACGTCAGCCACCGATTGTCCRAGTTGGCCATCGCTGTTGTCGCCAAATCCATAAATGATGTTATTCTCTGACGAACAAAAATATAATAGTTCTCAAAAGACAAAACCAATTAAAGACTATTATTATGATACATATATTTTACAAATAATAACTTTATTAATCATCATAATACTATTTAAACTTATTTCAACACTCAATATGTAATAAGTTATTACTAATGACATTTGGCTTAAGGAAATTATTTCTGATGATTTATATATCATATAGATTTATCATTATCTGGTATTTATTGTATTTCATAGATTGTCTTATGTGGAATATATCATATTGCACTATAATGTTTATTGTTTATGATTTTATTTATTATATTCTGTATGAATGTAAATACATAGATTTGAAGTATATATTTTTGAACGTGATAAATAGATAWTATATTAGGTTGAAATATCTTAAATTACTATCAGTTTGATTCTAAATATAAGTTAGTTAGTTAATAAGTTTAGTTATTTTAAAACTACATTAAAATATCTTAGTCAACGTTTTTTATAAGAATTTTAACTTTTAAGCTCGATGAAATATTTTAATTTTACCAAGTGCCACGATTGTAGGTCATCGTGTACGTACAAATATCAAAAAGTTTTATCCGATAGGGATTATTATTTATTTTTATGAAATTACTAATATTTCTAAACATATATCTGCTGCGGTCACTCATCCGATGTCTCGACGTCATATATGTATTWGCATTACTAACTATTCTTTAAAATTAGTTTATTGCGTTCGACTGCTTTAGTATAAATGACAAGGATTCCTGAGCTTAACTAAACGATG